TTTTTTTTTTTTTTTTTTTTTTTTTTTTTTTTGAGGCCTATTTTGGAAAATTCCTGTTGCTCTTGGATAGGCAGGGCCACAGGTCCACTGCTCTCCCATCCCACTCAGTTCCCTTGCTGGCCTCACTGGGTGCTGCCCCTTCTTGCAAACTGGTTTTGGCTGCTACAGCAAAAATTCAGCCTCTGCAAAGTGTCCTGAGCAGCTCCTGGGGTGGATTCGGTGTTTCTCCTTGCTGGCTTAAAAATACAAAACAGAGCTACACCAAAAAAAACCCCACCCAGGCTGCACCCACCCTGCTGATGGAGGCCCTGAGGTGGCACCCAGCAAAGGGGGCTCTGCCCCGCTGGTGTCACCGTGGGCACCCCTGGAATGGCCCAGACCTGATCCAGGCTGGGGATTCCAACAGCTTTCCTTGAATTCCTCCCCAGGGAAAGGCTTCCCACGGCTGGCTGTGCCCAGGCAGGTGCTGGCACACACCCTGGCATCGTTGTGCCCTTGGTGCTGTGCCCGCTGCCCACAGCTGGACCTGGATCTGCCAACGTGGGGCTGGGAGATCCCTGGGAATGCAAAGCCAGCTGGGAGCTCCAGAAAAGCTCCAGAAGCAGGGAATGTGCCCTGGCTCCTCCTCGGGGAAAGGTGGCAGTGAAAGGTGCAGTGGCTCTGCTGAGGGTGGTGGCACAGCTGGTGGCACCAAAAAGGTCTCCAAAAAGGGCTCTGCAAAGCTGTTGGGCCCTCGTGCAGGGCCATGGCTGAGAGGTCACAGCTGCCTCTCCTTGATGCACACAAGTAAAATGTTCATCAGCTCTCCAAGGAAAAAAACAAAAGGTTTGGGTGTCCTGTGAGCACAGCCCACTGCAGGAGGAGGATGAGCTGCTCCCTGGCTGTGCCCTCCTCGATGGCAGCGTGGGACAGGGCTGGCACAGGGCTGGCACAGACCAGCAGCCAAATTCAGCTCTCCTGGCACAGCAGCACCACACACCTACAGCTTCGGAGGAGAGAGGGAACAGCCAGACATCCCTCTGGCCCCCTTTGTGCCCAGAAGCCCTGAAATGTGCAGGAGTTATTCAATTTTCTCCTTTTTCCAGACTCAAAAGTGGTAATTGCACCTTTCTGAAAAGCTGTTCTTATGCACTTGGTAGCACACGGTCAGCGAGCTGCAGGGACACAGCTCCTCTCATCCTCCCATCTCCATCTTTATTCCCTATTTCTGAGCCTGAAGCAGCTGGAAACTGGCCAGGCTGGGGCTGAAGGACAGGATAAGGGCTGTGCAATGGGCAGAGGACAGAGACTGGAGGAGGATGCTGAGCTCCTCACACCAGCCCTGCTGCTGAGCAATCAGGTGCTGCCTGCAGCTGACATTACACCCAAACCCCATTTACCTTTTAATTCCCACCATCTAACTCGGCCTCAGAGCTTTTTCTCTCCTCCTCAGTAAAGCCAAGTGAGACAGTCCCTGTTTTTCTCAACAAGGTCTCAGGTACAATTGAGACCCAGCGTGCAGGCAGCTGGGAGCTGTGCTGGGAAATCCGCAAAGGCTGGAGAAAGACCAGGTAAAATCAGCATATACAGTCCCCAGAAATAAAGGTGAGCCTGATGGGACTGGGTCAGAAATGAATTCCTCACCAAAGCCTCCAAAAAATCCCCGTGGCAGGGCGGGAGGAAGGCTGAGCCCTGCCATGGCACCGGCTGCAGGGGAAGGTCTGGCACAGGGGACAGTCAGGACAGGGTGACAGGGCAGCTGTGCCACCTGCCAGGAGGGCAGAGCAAAATGTGCCTGCAGGTGACAAAGCCCATCACTGCAGTGCCAAGTGCAGTGTGCCCATCCAAACGCCCCTGCCATCCACAGGCTGCAGTTTATGGCTTCAGAAGGCAGCAGGGCAGTGCCCGAGGTGCCCCTCGTGGGCTGCCTGGGCTCTGCCTGGGCTCGTGCTCCTCACTGCTACCCCAGGGCAGCTCCCTGGCTCTCAGCCTCCATGGCCAGAACACCCTGTTGTGCCACAGAAAGAAAAATCTGCTTTATCTAAGCCCAGACCAGCTCCTCCATGTCCCCACGGGCCTGTTGATGGGGTCGGAACCCCAACAAGTGACAATCTGGCTGTGCCACTATTTGGCCTGAGCTGGTTCTCCTTACATGACATTTCCAGATCGATTCTGTCCACTTGGAACCCTCCCGCTGGGCCTCGTCCCAGTTTTGCCCCATCACAGCACAAACCCCTGGCAGCAGCTCAGAGCTGTCGGGTTTTAGGGTCAGGAAGCCCAGTGGCACCTGGCACTGCCCAAGTGGCAACGTCCCCACCCCGACCCGCAGCACGGCGAGCCTCCCCCGCAGCGGGAGGAGGGAAAAAAGAGCCTTTGCACGGGAAAATTTCTCATTTGCAGCAGGCTGGGGTCCTGGCCAGGCCCCAGACGATGCTCAGCTTTGCTCCCTGAATTGTGCCCTAGCAGTCAAATAAGGAAACACAGATAACGAGCCACTTGATTACGACTGACCAGCACGATAACCCAGAAGCAGGAACGGAAAGGCGAGGGTTGCTAGCGGCGTTCCCCCTTCCTGCAGCCCGCTACGGGCGGTAGATTTTAATCACATCTTTGATGACCCGTCTGCAAATGGGGCAGCAGGCGTTGAGCTGCTTCTTCAGCTTAAGACCACAGGTGTTGCAGAGGCACATGTGTCCGCAGGTGTAGATCACCGTGTCCACCTCGCTGTCAAAGCACACCGTGCACTCCCCGTTCTTGCTGCCCGATGGCTCCGGAGGGGAGAAGACAGGAGAGATGGGGGGGCTCAAAGGGGAGCTGGGGGCGGTCACTGCAAAAGAAAAGGGGGGAATGAGGGATTTAGTCACCTGGGATGGGGCAGAGCTGGCGCTGTGTGACACACTTAAGGCAGTTTTTAAAGCTGTCCTTAGTCATTGCGTGGTTCTTTGGCCAAAGGAATTCCAGTGTGTTCCAATGTGCAGCAGTCACAGCTCTGGGCAGAGCCTGTTAGTCCTTTTCTACACATGGGGCAGGTGCCACATCCACACATTTTCTGTAGGAACGGTGATTCCACCACTTCTCTGGGCAGCTTGTTCAATACCTGACCACTCTTTCCATAAAGAGATTATTCCTTAGATCTAAATTAAACTACTCCTTGTGCAACTAGATGCCTGACCACTCTTTCGATAAAGAGATTATTCCTTGGATCTAAATTAAACTACTCCATGTGCAACTAAATGCTGTTTCCTCCCATCCTGTCCCTGTTCCCTGGGAGTAGAGCCCGACCCCTCTGGCTGTCCTGTCCTGTCAGGAGCTGTGCAGAGCCACAGGGTCCCCCCTGAGCCTCCTTTTCTCCAGGCTGAGCCCCTTCCCAGCTCCCTCAGCCAGTCCTGGGGCTCCAGCCCCTTCCTCAGCTCCTTTCCCTTCCCTGGACACGCTCCAGCCCCTCAATGTCTTCCTCATCTCGAGTGGCCCAGACTGGACACAAGGTTGGAGGTGCAGCCTCAGCAGTGCCCAGCACGGGGGACAGTCCCTGCCCTGCTCCTGCTGGCCACACTGCTGCTGACACAACCACTGCACAGCCCTTCCTCAGGCCATGGAGACCTTTCCAGCACTGTGTTTTCTTCCCATTCCTTCTGGGATCCCCCCCGGGGCTGAGGGCTGGCTGTCCTTACCCAGCGAGGACTCGGAGGCTGATGAGGACCTGTTGACGCTGAAGGCCACGTCCGAGTCGCTGTCGTACTGGGAGCCACCGGGGGATCCTGAGGGAGACACCGTCCCTGGGCTGGACTGCACCGTGCCTGGGAACGCAGGAGAGAGCTGAGCCCACACAGGGACACCCCAGACCCCCTCAGCCTGCTGAGCTGCTCCCACCCCACCTGCACTGGGACTCCAGGGCGAGTCCTGCTGCTGCCCCTTGGTAGCAAGATTTTGGGTGCGAGCCCATGGTCTCTTTATCCCTCTGTATGATGCCTGTTCAGCTTCAGCGAAGCGAGCACCAGGTTGTGCAAAATTTGCCTTTCCACTTCCCCACAGTCTCACTCCCAGTGGGTTCCAGCTGTGGCTGTCACACTGTCAGCTGGGAAAGGCCATTGCTTTGGATGAAGAAAACCTGCTTTACAAAGTCATTAACATCTGCTTTTCTGATGGAATCCTTAACAGGAGGAAAGGAGAAAGGCTGGAACTGGTCCCCAGCTATGGATCAGAAGTGCCAGCTGATCCCTGAGCTGTGGCAGTGCTTTAGGAGCAATTACTGTCCATGCTTAAACCAGAGCTGTGCTCACAAAAATCATCATCCTTACCAAGGCAGAAGTTTAATACCTGTGGGCTGGAATAGGGTGTTTATAAAGAATCCCTTCTAAAAGCAAACCCACTGAAAAAGAAGTTGTCCCCCACAGCCATCCCTGTTTATAAAGAATCCCTTCAAAAAACAAACCCACTGAAAAAGAAGCTGCCCCCCACAGCCATCTCTGTTTATAAAGAATCCCTTCAAAAAACAAACCCACTGAAAAGAAGCTGCCCCCCACAGCCATCCCTGCCTGCTGCTTGCTTTATCTCTCAGTCTCACCCTTTCCTGGGGGAACCATAGAGGCTGCACACATCTCTGTGACAGGCACCATCTTTTGTCACTCTTGCTTGCAAACACAAGGAGCTGCATCCTCACATCAGTGAACGCTGAATGCAAACCCAGAGCTCTGCTTCTGGGCCAGGAAACATCTCCAGCCAGCTTGGCCTCACTTACCCAGGATTTTGAGCTGGTTGATCACGCCGTGGATGGTAAAAAACACCCAGAGGGACTGTGAGGTGTCCACGCACATGAGCATCCCCCGGCTGGCCCCGTTGACCCCGTGGTGCACCTCTCCGTTGGGCAGGACCATGAAGCTGAGGATGTCGCCACTGTTGAGGACCGGGAAGGCCCGGTACACCACCCAGTACTCCTTACGGTCCAGGAGGAAGTCCGGATCCGCCGGGAGCTCGTTTGTCCGCAAAGTGCTCGGATCACACGAGGTGATGCCGAACGAGAGGGCCCCGTAGTACGGCAGCCCCAGGTGTCCTACTTCCACAAAGAGGCTCTCCCCGATGTGCAAAGGCCGGTCAGAAAACACCAAAGTCCTGTTGCTCTCCTGCCAGTTGGTGCAGGCCACCATCCTGTCCTGGGAAAAGGTGATGTCGGGGCCGCGGGTGGGGTGGAACCGCAGGTCGGTGTCCAGGAACGCCGGCACTCCCTGGGCGTGCTGCCGCCGGCCGGGGCAGCAGGGGATGATGTGGTTGTCAGTCCCAAGCCCCGGCACCCGGCTCAGGTTCAGGTTTGCAATTTTGGCCACCACTTGGTTGTTCTCGAGCTCGTTGTTGTTGAAGTTGGCCGAGTCGTGGTTGCTCTGGGGAAGGCAGGTGCTGAGCCGGGCGGTGCTGAGCCGGGCAGTGGTCATGGTCTCTGCAAACATGCTGTCTGTGAGAGAAACCCAGGCACAGAGGCTTTAGTCAAGAGAAAACTGCCTGCTTTTATGCTTACAGTTGTTATTGCAGCCTACAGACTCCGAAAGGAAAAATCAGCCATGGGTCAACCACTAAAGAACAGCTCCTGGTGCAGAGTCACGTGTGGGGCAGGCAGAGGAGCGGCTGCATCTGGCACCAGCCAAGGGAAAACAAGTGTTCCAAAGTACTTGTGTGATCTGGGAGTTCCCTGCACTGGGGAATGGGGAAAAGCTGCAAACCATTGTGGTCCTACAGCTTTCTGAGGAGAAAGATCTGATAGCTCTGAGGCTACCCTATTAAAAAAAAAAAAAGTCTCAATATGCTGTTGTCCCAAGGTCTTGTGCAAGGCAAACCCACAAGTGATGGGTGAAGGAACTCAAGGATGAATGGATATTCCTTCCACACTCCTTGCCACTGCCTTACGCCTGTGTCCAGGCACAGGTGTGTCCCAGAGAGGTCATTTCAAGCCACGTATCTCAGGGATGTTCACAGCCCTGCAGAGGTTTTGAATGGAGAGCTTGTCACAAAAGCTACTTCCTGCAGGTGTTAGAAAGCTTTTACAGGAGAAGGTTGTTTTCCCTTTTCACAGCAAAGGGAAAGTCAGGATGTTGATCCTTAATTAATTTCCCAGGTTTCCACTTGAGCCATGCCAGGCTTGGGGGTGATGTAAAGGTGTGGGAAAGTTTGGGAGTGTTCTCCCTTTCACCTCCAGCCCTGCTGGGCCAGCCTGGAGACTTTGCTCTGAAAGGTTTAATGCACTGAGCAAAGTCAAAGCACGTGGAATTTAAGAGTTTGTGTGAATGACTCCTGGTCTTCCCAGAGATGGAGAGGGCTGAAGCAGCCCAGCACCAACACTGCCCGCTCCCTGGAGGAGACAATCCCCAGGTGTCAGAGTCCAGCACATCCCTCTGGCTGCCCTGGCTGTCTCCAGACCCTGGCAGGGGGCTTGGAGACCCTGGCATGAAGTCAAAAACACCTGTGGCTTCGATTTCAGCCCATCAAAAAGACTGACAACTTTATATGAGGAATTAAAAGCCACAAGGGTTTGAGTAGTGTGATGTTTGAATTAACACAGTGTGGAAAAATAGAATTTGGGGATTTTTAGAATGCGGTTCAAGAGGGTACAAGATGGAGGAATTTGGGCATGTCCTGGCCTTCTCCTTCTTCTTGTCCTCCATGTCTTGGTGTGATGGTGACACTTTTCTATTGGTTTAAGGCAGAGATTCACTAACATAGATGATGGGAACTGGGACAAAATTGTAAACATGCTACATGTAGTTTTGAGTGGGAGCTGCCCAGGGCTCGGGGCAAAATGCTATGGTGGACTTGCTAGGCAGAGCTCAGCAGGTCAGAGAAAGAATGTCATAGATAAGAAAAAATAAACAACCTTGAAAGTGCAATCAGACACATTCCAGACTCCTCCTTTGGCTGCACGGGCTAAGGGAATGAGGACTCTCACAATCCCAGGGTCACTCCAAAGCAAACCAGACCCCGACACCCAGGCTTTTGGCAAAGAAGGAAAAACACCCAAATCCACCCAGCAGCTGCTGAGAAGCCCAGGAGGGAGAGGTCACTGGGGTGGCTGATGGCTGCAGCAGCTCCTTCTCAGCCAGCACAGCTTGTGTGGTAAGAAATGGTCCCACAGAGCAGCCAGGCACATCCAAGCTTCATGATGGATTCCCATCCCTGGAAGAGTCCAAGGCCAGGTTGGACAGCACTTGGAACAGCCTGGGATAGTGGAAGGTGTCCCTGCCCATGGTAGGGGTTGGAATGAGATGATCTCTGAGATCCCTTCCAGCCCAAACCATTCATTCTACGATTGATGATGCTGAAAGATGCATTTTGTGCTTCAGAACTGTATTTCACAATTTTCTCAACTCACAACATTTTGGGAGGATGAGACAGAAACAAGCACATCCTCAAGAAAGGGGTTTAGGTCCCCTGGTACTCCAGATGGCTGAGCACAGCCCTGATTCCTGGAGCAGTGTCAGGGGTTTGCTATTTTAATTTAAAGAAAACTCCCAGCAGAGTACAGGTGCTCTCAGCCTGAGTCTGTCACTGGGAACTCTTGGATGCTGCAGGCAGGACTGGAGGTGGGGAGCAGAAAGAAGCTGCATTTTCTTTTTCAAACCCCAATTTTATGAGGAGAAAGGAAAGCTCTGGTGAAGCAGCTGCCTTGGCCAATACTGCAAACACTCCTTCTCCTCTGTGACGAGCACCAGAGGCTGGAGTGTGTCACAACTGCAATTACAGGACAAGCTGCTGGTGAGGTTTAATTACACATTTGAGGCACAGCAGACAGGGAAAAGTGTTGTTTATGTGTGGTCTTCTCGCCTGTAAAATAATTGGCACTGTTCAGAAGGATGTGTGATGGAGCTGCCTGCCCTCTGGACTCACCATTCCACAGCCTATCCCTGGTGCCTGCTCCATGCCAGGCTAGGCTGGCAGCACCATCCCCTGGGGCAGGTGCAGCTGGCTTTGGCTGTTAAAACTCCATCAGCTCCGAGGAGCCTCCAGGAAAGGGCAACTCTCTTGGCTTTTAAAAGTGTTCCCTGTGGTGCAGCCCAGTTCAAACACTCCATCTAATGCTGAATTCAGTAGAAATTTCAATGCTGTAAAAGCCACAAAGGGAAAATCATCCCATGGCCATCAGCTGGGCTTGCTCATGGGAACAGATTCGTCCCCTCTTGCAGCCCTCCCTAAGGATGAGGCTGACTCCACCTGATTCCAGGGATCTGAGTGATGTCCCTGTGCCAGGGAAGGGTCAAAATGCCAACACAGCCCCTCAAACCGCCAGCCTGGGTGAGACCCCGGCCAAGAGCGGGGAGAGGGCTGGGCAAGGGCTCCAGGAAACTCATGGGCAATTACTCATAATTTTCCAATGGACTGGCAATAACTGGTTGCTGGGAAAGTATAGACAAAGTCACAACTTGTCCTTTTTGCCTCCACAATCCTTGGGACCTTGCTCCATATTTTTCCATGCCAAAGCAGCACATCCAGCTCAGAGAAAGCTGTGTGGAATTACAGGTAAACATTTCCATTTATCCCTTCCCATAAAGTGCAGCCTTAGGACTTGCCATCACTGCCATCTCTGGAATATATTGCTTTCTGCATCCCTACTGCTGGCAGAAGAAAAATGATTAATTGGAGGTACAAAACCAACAGCAAATTAATTTTCCTAAGTATCCCATAGAAATGATCACATAGATCATGCATCTTTCCTACGGAATTGTGGGTCTCAGATTCAGTCAAAGAAAGAAACTGAGAATTTCTAGCCAGGCAGAAGCCTGGGAAAGAGCTGGAGAACAATGTAAATAATTCTTTATCTCTCTTGTTTTTCACACTGTTTATAGTTAAGTTCTATCACTGTGTGTCAAGCACTCTGCACCAATGGTGTGGGTTGTTTCACTTCAGGACCAATAAAGTCGGTCCTCACGAAGCTCTGTATAAAGAGCAGTGTATTTTAAATAAACTGGAGTTTTACTCTCACAGCCTTCTAAGTCAGAGTCTTCTCATTCCCGTCCTGCCTCGACAGCGACACGGGATCAGAAAGAGCAACCAGAAGAGCAGCCCAGAGGTGGCAAAGACACACTTACCTAGAATTTGCACTTCGTGGGTAATTCCATAGACGTCTATGAGGGCCCAAAGAGGCCCGGAAACTTTAATACCACAGTGAAACAAGATTGGCTCCTCATCATTAATACTGTAGAAGACTCTGCCGTGCCGGTCCACCCAGAAGGCCAAGATATTGTCCCTGACCGCAAACCTCTCCGGCAGCGCCTTGGCCCAGTAGCCGGGGCGGGTGACGAGGTCGGGGCAGGCATACTTTGGTATCTCCTCGGAGCTCATCTGCGAGGGGTCGTGGATGGTGAAGCCGAAGCGCAGGGCCCCGCTCCAGCCGTGGTGCACGGCCACCAGCTTGAGGCGCACCTTCTCGTAGAGGTGGATGGGCCGGTTGGTGAAGGTGACGCCGTTGCAGAAGCTGTTCCTGCGCGTGGCCCTGCGCGAGTGCGCGTCCAGCCGCACGTTCTTGCCCTTGGCCTGCGAGTGGAAGCGCGGCGGCTCCGCCACGGCCAGCACCGAGCGTCTCTCATGGCTGCTGTTGGGCAAGCTGTAGTAGGGCCGGCTGGACACCGAGCGGGTCTGGTGGCTCGTGTCTGCGGAAGGACAAAGCACATCAGTCAGCAGGGCCTGGCCCCAGCCAGGCTTGGCTCAGCTGGGTGGGATTGCACCACTCTGCTAAGATCTGAAATGGCACAGGATCACCGGGTTGGAAGAGACCTTCGAGATCATCGAGTCCAACCCAGCCCCAACACCTCAACTCAACCCAGTGCCACATCCAGGCTTTGTGAAACACACCCAGGGATGGGGACTCCACCACCTCCCTGGGCAGAACATTCCAGAACTTTATCACTCTTTCTGTAGAAAACTTTTTCCTAATATCCAACCTGTATTTCCCTTAGTGCAGCTTGAGGCTGTGTGCTCTGGTTCTGTCAGTATCCAACCCCAGCTGAGCACAGCCACCTTTCAGGGAGCTGTAGAGAATGATAAGGTCACTCCTGAGTCTCCTTTTCTCCAGGGTGAACACCCCCAGCTCCCTCAGTCATTCCTCACAGGGCTTGTGTTCCAACCCCCTCAATATTTCACCTTAACACAGCATGCTTAGCCACAACCTGCTCTTTGCTGTCCCAGTTTGGCCCTCAGCTTTCTGCAAAAACGTGTCAAGCAAGGTTAGGCAGCTTCCCTGCAAAGCTGGATAGGAAGGAACGTCCTTTGTTCCCATCAGATGCTTCCTATTGCCCTCAGAAAAGCTCAACATCTGCAGCTCCGAGTTTCCTCCTCAGAGTGCTCGTGCTGTTAACTCACATGGTGGCCAGAGACAGGAGCTCTGAGGACTGTGACTGTTAAAAATCACAGATCCTAGAGGTGAGCATGGGTCTCAGAAGATTTTTGTGGGACACGTAGCCACCAGCTCCTCTGTGCCCTGATTTTGTAATGACGAACAGGAACTTTTGGCCAGCACAAATAATCAAAGAGATTCAGCAGCTGGAGCACCTCTGCAACACCAGACTGTTCCTCCTAAACCTTCAACCCAGCCCCTGGCTGAGATATCAGATGTAACTGGCACATTCGGGAACATTTCATCCTGCACAGCCTTGCCTTTACCCAGAACCTCCCATTTGAGCTCAGAGCACTTTATAAATGATGATTGTTTTCAGCTTCACAGCACCGCAGATGGCACAGCAATCCTGCCATCCTCGTTTTACAGATGGGAGAAGGAGAATTGATGGGTGAGATCTTGCAGCATTTAAAGCCAATAGAAATTCTGAGACTCACTTCAAGGAAAGCAGATCTGGGGCCTAAAGTGAGGTTCAGACAGGCATGAAGCAGAAATTTAAAAAAGCTCAAATTTGAATCCTAAACCTTAGCTAGAAGCTCCTTGAGGTGGAGACAATGTCTTTTTCACATCTCTGAGCACACGGGGACTTGCTCCAGGTCCCGGGCTCCCACCTCCACCTCGGTGTTCCGGGGAATTTGGTCTCCCCATTCCCCACCCACTCCACCTCTCCTCCTGTCTCTGCACCTGGCTTTGTAGATGTTTAAAGCAAAAATGGAACACATCCTGAATGCCCAGAGCCACCCTGTTCAATATAAGACCCCATCACATGCTCACAATTCCTCTGAACACTTTTGCCACGTTTGAAGCTTTAGCAGCCACCTGCCAGGCCCTTCCTCCAGGCTGCTTCCTCCTGTGTGTAACCCCAGGCTTTGCTTCGTGACAAGGGAAGGATTTTTCTGTCACATCCCTCTGATGGAAAAAACCCACCAGAAGATCCTGGGAGCTCAGCTGGGCGAGCTGGCAGGAGGGCTGCAGTGGTGGCAGCTTTTTTTTTCCAAGCAACACCAGAGCAGACAGGGCAGGGAGAGGCTGGGACCTGCACTAAGGCTCTGAGCAAAGAAAAGAGAGGTTGCAGCAAGATCTGAGCACAGGATTAGCCCTTGAAATCAGGCATCTGGAACAGGAGTCAAAGGGCTATGAAGGCAAAAAGCTCCTGTTTGCAGCAAGATATAAATAACAATCAAAAAGGTGTTTTTTCTCTTGGCTTGCCCTGCACGTGACAGTCGCCATGCAATGGTTAATCCTGTCACACACCAGTGGAAATTAATACATCCTTGCTCTCAGCCAGTGAGGAGAAGGTGCCAGTTCCACGCTAAGGCTGTGGAAAAGAGCCCTGGAGCAGATGGGGAAGGGAAAATCCTCCCCAGGTGCTCAATCCCCCTGCCCAGCACAGCACCTCTGCTCCCAGCAGCACTGCAGGGCTCCCCAGGAAGGGGCATTTCTTTGTGTATTCCCAGGAGAAATCTCATTCCTTGCCTGCTGAGGAGCTAAAATGCAGAAAAGGCAGCTCCCAGCACAGCCCACCCGTGCTGATGTGGGAGCTGCTCCGCGCGTGTGCCTGCCAGCGCTCCCGACAAACGGAGCTGCTGCAAAGGGAGCGTGGCCTGGGGGCTCCAGGCAGGGACCAGCCAGCACAGGGCAGGGTGAAAGGGTGAAGCCTCTCCTGGCCTCGCCTCCCCACCCAGCACCCCTTTTCCCATGTGCATTCACACAGCCTGTGAGCCCCTCGGGTGGGACCTGGGCCAGGGACAGATCCCAAAGGGTTCCTGAGGGACTGGGTGGGCTCAGTGCCCACCTCACACCCTGCCTGGCTGGGCAACAGCCTCCTCAGGCAGAGAAACCTTCATTTTACAACCCACTGAGCTGCCTTTGGTTTCTAAAATGGTTAAAAACAACCCCCCTGTTGTTGCAAGAGCCACCGCCTCGATGCCCCCACACTGGCCAGGAGGAGGGAGGTGAGAAGACAGATTTTGTTCTCTCTGCTATCCCCAAAATCCCCTCATTCCCCTTTCTCCCACAGCCCCCTGATGGAGAAAAGGCTCCTGCCAGGGATGTGATGCCCCTGGCACTGCAGCCAGGCAAATTCTCCTCATGCCCCTCTCAGAAGGCCCAGAGGACAAAGGTGGCAGTGCCAGTGCCACCAGCACGAGTGACAGGGCAGCGAGGACACTGCCACCCACTTCAAACACAGCTCTGGGTCCACCCTGCCACAGGGGGACTCGGGGTCAGGGTCCGGCGCTTTTTGTTTTGTTTTTTTCTTAAAAAAACTAAAAAAAAAAACCAAAAACAAAACAAAAAAAAAAAAAAAAAAAAAACCCAAAAAACAACCAGGAAAGCATATTGTGGCTAAACAATAGGAAACGGTCCCGACGGAAATGAACGGATAATTTATTTATAACGCTGCTCCTCCCTTCACATGAACACCTGCTGATGGAATAAAGCCTGCCACAACCCCAGGCAGGGAGGCAGAGTTTTCCCACTGAAACACGCCCGGGGCTGAGCTAGGGCATGTGCTTTACTCATTAGGTGCTGACTGGGACTCCAAGCTCCACAGGATGTTTGTGCCTTCCAATTGTGCCTTTGAATTGCCCTAATTTGCAGCTCGGCTTCCACAGTTTGGCTCGAGTTTATTCCCTCTGCTATTGCTCCAAAGCCTCTCCTCTCCTGGCTGTGCATTCCCACCCAGAAGTGGGATGACGACAGCCAAGCTCGTGGCACAAGTGCCACCCTACCCAGGGTGCCTGACAGGCAGGGAAGAGCTACGCCAACTCTTTTTTTTATTTTTTCAGCTGTGAGATTCCTACAACTCCTGGGAGCAAGTAATTTCTTCTCTTTCTGCCTCACTTCCCATCTAAAAGAGAGTAACACCATTCCTCCACCTCAAAGACACCTTAAAAGGTTGGAAAAATGTAACACTTCAATCCCTGAGCCCTGAGAGCCTGGCTGCATCATCACAGAGGACACAAACCCGCTGAGGGATGCCTTGAGCTTCCATCCCTCTTTTTATCCCAGAATTTTCCATTTTTCATCCCCATTCTCACCCATTTCAAACACGACACTCACAGCACATCCATCAATCTCACCAGCAAACATAAAAGGCAAGAAAATGGAAGGAAACACTGAACTGAAAGGTGAAGAATGGTCTGAGGCTCCTCACTGAAACCTGAGGGATAAACCCTTTTGGCAAGGCAGCATTTCCATCCTTGTGGTGTCAGATGCCACTGAGGCAGATTTGGGTTCTGGGGGCTCTCATCTGAAGCTTCACCTGCTTTCCAAAAGGCCAGCACACTCATTCCAGAGGTTATGCTGACCTTTGGAGAGGTATTTTAACAGACATGCACTTTGCATTTCAAAAAGGTACAGCAGGCAGACCCTGGATAAATTCCACATATTTATCATGGTTCCAGTTCTAAAAATAAATTATTTTTTTTCACCCATTTGTTTGCAGTGGCACTGTAATCCCACTGACAGCAGCAGACAAAATTCAGCTCCAGAGCCCTGTCTGAGGCTGCTGCTCTCCCTGGGGCGTGGGATGGAGGAGCCTGCTCAGCTGGGGAGTGACCTCGAGCCAGATCGATCCTGAATTCACTTGCCCTGACAAGCCAGGCAGGAATAATACCCCTAAAATGGGGGAGAAGGGAATAATGTTGAAGGAGAGCAGAGCTACAGCGAGAGCAGCCTGACAGGAGGAGGAGGAGGAGGAGGAGAGCGCTGCATCCTCATGCATCACTGGTAAATCCATGTCTGCACCAGAGACATTCCCTGGGTCCCACAGCCTTTTCCTGAGGGCCTTTCCCAAGTAAACCCATGACAAAACATCCACAGGATTGCAAGGAGCAGTTTGGTGCCAAACAGGGCTTGTGCAGGGGATACAGAGAGGCAAAATCACTGGGACCATCCACTGGCAGCAGACACGGCCCGTGCTGCAGGAGCATGGTCTGCCCTGGCCAGAGAAAGGGGGAAAGGCTCTGAGAAAGGCTGAAAGGCTCAGAGAAAGGCTGAAAGGTTCAGAGGAGAGGCTGAAAGGTTCAGAGAAAGGCTGAAAGGCTCAGAGGACAGGCTGAAAGGCTCAGAGGAGAGGCTGAAAGGTTCAGAGAAGAGGCTGAAAGGCTCAGAGAAACACTGAAAGGTTCAGAGAAAGGCTGAAAGGTTCAGAGGAGAGGCTGGAAGGTTCAGAGGAGAGGCTGAAAGGTTCAGAAAAAGGCTAAAAGGCTCAGAGAAAGGCTGAAAGGCTCAGAGAAAGGCTGAAAGGTTCAG